CAACTTTTGGTGCTGTGAGTGTTTCGCGTTTTAGCCATTCGAATGGGTTGTAGCTCTCTAATGTTCTCTAATGATTTACCGTGTTGAGCATCTTTCCATATACTTATTTGCCATCCCCGTGTCTTCTGTGAGATTTCTATTTAGTTCTTTTGCCCATTTTTAAAAATGGTTTGTTTTCTTATTCTTGAATGTTAAGGGTTCTTTGTATATTTTAGACACAAGTCCTTTATCAAGTATGTGCTTTGCAAATATGCTCTTCCTGTCTGTGGAGTGTGATTTCATTCTCTTAACACTGTCCTTTGCAGAGCAGACGTTTTCCATTTTAATCAAATCCAGCTTATCAATTTTTTCTTTCTCGTATTAAACTTTTTGGTGATGTATCTAAAACCTCATCACCACACCTAAGGTCACCTAGATTTTCTCCTATAGAGAATGTCTAGGCATGTTACGGTTTTGTACATTTTACATGCGGGTCTATGATCCATTTGAGTGAGTTTTGTGAAGGGTGTGGGATCTGTGTTTGTGTCTAGATTCATTTCTTTTCTTTTTTTCTTTTTTCTGCATGTGGATGTCTAGTTGTTCAAGCACCATTTGTTGAAAAGATTATCCTTTCTCGATTAAATTGTCTTTGATCCTTTGTCAAAGATCATCTGACTATATTTGTGTGGGTCTATTTCTGGGCTCTTTATTCTATTCTATTGACCTACTTGTTTGTTCTGCCAATATCACAATGTCTTGATTACTATAGCTTTACGGTAAATCTTAAAGTCAGGAAGTGTCAGTGCTCTGACTTTGTTCTTCTACATTGTGTTGGCTATTTTGGGTCTTTGCCTTCCAAATAAACTTTAGAATCACTTTGTTGATATCCGCAAAATCACTTGCTGGAATTTTACTTTAACAATTGCATTGGATAGATAGATTAAGTTGGGAATAACTGACATCTTGACAATATTAAGTCTTCCTATCCAGACCATGAACTATCTCTCCATTTATTTAGTCCTTCTTTGATTTACTATATCAAAATGTTATAGTTTTCCTCATATAGATCTTATACATACTTTATTAGATTTTTGCCTAATTTTTTCTTTCATTTTTGATGCTAATATAAATGATGCTATGCTTTTAATTTCAAACTCTAGTGTTTCATTGCTAGCATATAGGAAAGAAATTAAATTTTTATACTAACCTTGTATCCTGCAACCTTGCCATAATCACTTTACTGTTGATTATTTGTGATTTTATACATAGGCAATCATGTCATCTGTGAAACGAGACAGTTTTAATTCTTCCTTACCAATCTACAGACTTTTTATTTCCCTTTCTTGTCTTGTTGCATTACCTGGTATTTCTAGTATGACTTTGAAACAAGAGTGGTGAGAGAACAACTTTGCTTTGTTTCCAGTCTTAAAGAGAAAACATGTAGCTTATCATTAAGTATGATATTAATTGGAAGTATTCTGTTAATGTTTCTTCTTAAGCTGATGAAGTTATTCCTGCTGTGAGTCTTATCAGGAATGGGTGTTGGACTCTGGATTGCTGCATCTATTGATATAATCAGGTGATTTTTCTTCTTCAGCCTGTCGATGTGAGATATTACATTAATTGATTTTCAAATGTTGAATCAAGCTTCATACCTGGGATAAATCCCACTTGGTCATGAGGTATAATTATTTTTATACACTTTTGGATTCAAAATGCTAATATTTTGCTGAGGACTTTGTATCTATGTTTATGAGAGATACTGGTATGTTTTCCTTTCGTGTAATGTGTTTATCTGATTCTGGTATTAGGATAAGGCTTTCTCACAGAGTGAATTACGAAGGGTTTTCTTTATTTCTATTTTCTGAAAGAGATTGTAGAGAAGGGACATAATTTCTATTTTTCTGCCTTGAAATTCATTGATTTTTGCTGTTATTTTTATCGTTAATTTTTCCTATTACTTTTGATTTAATATGCTCTTTTTTCCCTACTTGCCTGAAGCGAAAATTTAGATTATTGATTTTAGATCTTTTTCTATTCTAATATATGCTTTCAATGCTATACTTTTCTATTTAAGCACTGCTTTTACTGCATACTTCACATTTTGGTAAGCTGTATTTGCATTTTCATTTAGTTCAAATTATTTAAAAATCTCTGTTGAGATTTCTTCTTTGCCCCATAGGTTATTTAAAAGTTTGCTGTTCAATCTCCAAATATTTTTGGGTTTTCCAGCAATGTGTTACTGACTTACAGCACAATTCTGTTGAGGTCTAAGAGGAAAGATGATATTGTTTCTACCTTTTAGATTTGTAAGGGTCCAGAACATGATCCATCTTAGTGAATATACTATGCAAGCTTGAAAAGAATATGTATTCTCCTGAAGTTGGATGAAGTATTCTGTAAATGTCAATTAGGTCTAGTTGATTGTGTGTGCCATTCAGTTTTAATATAGTCTAGCAAAATTCTTAAGAAAGAAATAAAGTACAAATAAGAATATTAGGAATAAAAGGAATGAGATTAGGAGTGGAAAGAATGAAAGGAATACAAGGAATAAAGTAGAGTCAGAGATAGCGTTCAATGCGTTTTCAAGACAAACTATGGTATTTGCATGTAAGAAAATACTATAAAGGGTTAAAAAGTGTAGCTAAATAATAATGCATCAACTAGGCAAATCTGGATAAAAGTAGAGTGCAGAAAAATATCTAGATGATAGTTTTTATGTAAGTGTTAAAAATACTCAAAACAATGTAACATGTATTTTGGATACAAAAAAATGTACAAAAACAGTATAAAACATGAAAACGACGTGCACCAACAACAGAATTATGGCTATTATTTTAGGTGGAGACCAGCATTTATATTGATTTCAAGGCACAGAGATACTTTTTCTTTCCTCACTGTGCTGGCTAGAACCTGCCATATAAGGTTGAATAAAAATGTGGAAAGAAGACATCCTTGTCTTATTGTTGTTTTTAGGGACAAAACATCCAGTCCTTTATCATGACGAGTACTGTGAATTTGATGTTTCTATCTTTTCATTTCTGCCTTGAAAACTCTTTTTTTCTGGGCTGAGGAAAAGCAATTTTGGAAGTTTTAGTAACACTAAACTAAGACATGTGATTATAGTAGATATTAATGTTCTTGGTACTCAAGATTCAACTATTTTATTGCAGACTTTTAAAATAAGAAGTTTTTAATTTAACATTTTCTTATTAATAAACAAAATTGGTTCAAGCAGTACAAATTGCTATTGGAACTCTCTTTTTTTGGCAATTTTGTGGGTAGGTTTCAGGGTATATAAAGTATATTTCTATGTAAAAGTATATTTTATAAATCTATTTATTCACTGTGAGTGTGTGTGTGTGTGTGTGTGTGTGTTTATAGCAATGTCACAAATGCTGGAAGAAATACCTTCCCTATATATTCTTAATTTCTTCTCAATAGTTAGTATTTTATGGCCAAAAAAATACTATTATGGTGATTTTTACAAATACGATGTTTTTTAATAACACAAAAGTAATACACCCTCATTATAAAAAATGTTTTGGAGATCCAGAAAAGTACAAAGAAAATAAAAATTACTGCTTTGAGGAGGGCACTTGTTGGGATGAGCACTGGGTATTGTATGGAAGCCGATTTGACAATAAATTATATTCATAAAAAATTACTGCTGAATTTATATCTTACCAAAATATTTTAAAAATATTTTGATGTACATGTTGCATAATTACACATACTAACACATAATTATGTACATGAAAAGACACATACACACATACTTTTTAATTTAGTATTGTGCCGAATAGAAAACTTTAGATATTAACTCCTGCTTCTAGTTACGACAAAGCAGCTTGTGTCACACAAACCCTCCTGTTATGAGCTACCATAAAAATTGAGAAAGGAAACTAACAGCTGTTTGAAGAAATTCGGGAGCAACCAGGAAAGCCAGGATTTGAGAGACCAGATTGAAGTAGAGAGAGGGAGGAGGGTAGGAAACACAGAAAAGAGGATGAAGGCCTAACACACATGTAATTGGAGTCCTGGTAGGAGCAAAGAGAGAGAATGAGACAGAATGGTAACTGGAAGAATGAATGCTGATGGGTTTCCAAAACTGAAAATAAAAACTAAAAACTAAAAAAAAAGATCAAGTCACAGATGTAGACGCTTTACAAATCCAAACCTGCATAAATGGAAAGAAAACCACTCCTACCCATCTCGGTTTGCCTTCCAAAAGACAAAATCAAAGGCAATTTAAGAACAGTTATAGAAAAAAGGCAAAGTACCTTAAAGAGCTACAGTAAGACAGGAAACCACTTTTCCAATAGAAACAATGGAGTCAAAAAGAAAGTGTCATCAAAACGACTCAAATGAAAAACCTGAAAATCTAGAATTTCATATCCAATTTTTATTTCAGCTTTTTAAATAAAAACATGTAGAACTAATGAGTTAATGAGATGTGGGAAATCGAATAATAAAATGATTCATTTTAATCTAAAAGAACATAAGAAAGGGGAAAAAAAAGATGAAAACAAGATAAGGGAAACAGAGAACAAAGAATAACATAGCAGGTAAACCCGAATATTGCCTGTGACTACATTAAAGACATTATGAACTAAAGATTCCATTCAAAGACAAATATTGTCAGACTGGATCAAAAAACCTTTGTTATGTTTGTGTAGGACACATTAAAAAATTTGCTTAATGTCTATTTATTTTTGAGAGAGAGAGAGAGACAGAGCACAGCAGGAAATGGGCAGAGAGAGAGAGAGGGAGACACAGACTCTGAAGCAGGCTCCAGGCTCTGAGCTGTCAGCACAGAGCCCGACGCCGGGCTCGAACCCACAAACCATGAGATCCTGACCCGAACAGAAGTCGCCGCTTAATCGACTGAGCCACCCAGGCATCCCATATATGGGACACATTTTACACATTAGGACATAGAGAGTTTAAAATTAAAAAAAAATTAAGAAAATATATTCTTTGATAATACTAAGAAATAGCTGCAATAATACCAAACAAAGGAGAATACCTACAAGTAGTAACCCAGTTAAAGAAGGATATTTTGTAATGATAAAAGAGTCCATGCCACTGGAAAAGATAACAATCTGAAATTGATGTGTGCTTAACAGAATGGAATCAAATTATGTAGTAAAAAATTCACAAAATTAGAGAAACCTTTATTCATCGACTGGGTATTTTTTTAAACAATATCTGTCTGTAACTGATAAAGCAATCAGATAAAGATACCAATAGAGAGAGAAGATTTAAGGAACATAATAATAAACTTGACTAGTTGACATACCTAGAGTTTGGCACCCAAGAAATGCAGAGCACACATCATTTTCAAGTATACAGGAAAGACTTAGGACAAACAACCATATACTGGGCCATGTTTCAACAAATACTAATGAATTGAAATCACATTGAGAATGTACACTGTCCACAGTGTAATTAACCCAGAAATCAATAACTAAAAGAACTGGAAAATCTCCAAATATTTGAAAACTAAGCAACTACACACACACACACACGCATACACATACATACATATGTATGAGTACATACTCACACATGAGTATGTATGTATGTATACATACTCATGTATATCTGTGTATTATATATGTTTTATATATATATCATGTATAACCTTTTTTGTTTCACTTAACATTAGATGGTGTTTTCTCGCATATTTTTAGCTCATGGACATAGCCTGAATTTCCTGTCATCTTCTTCACAAAGTGAGAAACTGCAGGGAGCTTAATTACACAGAGCCTAGTAAAAAGAGAATGAGTGGGTAAATAAAGCGTTTGTATTCCTGCACCCAGAGATTCTTCCACCGGCAACTCCCAGCCTCCTCCTCAGTATCTTAGCCTCTCCTCTAAAACTGCCTCATAAGAGACCAAAAAATGCACTTTATTTGGACTTTTGCCTGCTTTTGTGGGAAGGAAACCTGTTTGAGGGAAGCAGCAGAGAATCCCGTGGTTTAATTTGCTGCTCTCCCAGAGGGAAGGTGGAAGAAGAAAACAGGAACTGGAGAGAACCAATACTGAGTTGATTTCATCCTGTCCTCAGAGGTGGGGTGCCTAGGGTGAGTTCCCCTTTCTGTAGAGGCTCTGAGAGAGAGGGAGATCGCAGTCCAGATCTGCCTTCATTCGGCCTCGCTCGGCCTCAGCGCTGTGAACGCAAGGGTGAGTTCTCTTCCCGGGAGAATCAGGAATGTGTGCTGGAGAATCAGGACAGTGTGTTGAACAACCGGCAACATTTTATGAAATACGCATTAAGAGTCGTGGTGCACTAATATATGTATATGCATAACATATAGAGAGAGACTAAATAAAGTATCTCAAATCGTTGACCTTTATTTGCTATGAACGATCTTGCACCTGTGAAGGCCAGAGTATTAGAAAACGGGCGATTTGTATTTTAAAATTGCATTCACTTCTCCCTTCTGTGTCGCGATGCAGTACAAATGTAACTTAAAATTTAAAATTGCATTAGCTCCTTTGGGGTATGGGGTTTTAAAAA